TTTATATTGTACATAACACAAATTTATGTTAGAAATCTATACCCTACCCATCTTCTCTCTTACTAAGTCTGCAGTTCTCTTTATACGATCTTATATTACACAAATTTACATACTATTGGAAAACTATTACCAACCCGTCTCCCCATTTACTAAGCCTGCAGTCCTGTTTATAACCTCTTATATAATATGATACAAATTTATAACCACCAGTTGCCGTGGAGTTAAATCCAACTCACAGCGACCCCATGCATATCAGAATAGAACTGCACTCCATAGGGTTTTCAGTGGCTGATTTCTCAGAAGTAGATCATCAGGCCTTTCTTCCGAGGTGCCTCTGGGTAGACTTGAACCTCCAACCTTTGGGTCAGCAGCCGAGCACTTAACCGTTTGTACCATTCAAGGACTCCACACAGATTTACAAACTTTTGGGAAACTATTCCCCAAGTTTCCTTCCCACTTTCCCAGCCCGCAGCCCTCTTGTGTGTCACCTTCACTGTCCCTTCTCTCCTTCTCCAGAGCACTCCGGGCTGTTGTGTAATGAACTTTCACTAAACCACAAAGGAGGGCTGAAGCTTAGCCCAGGATGGAAAACAAGTTCAAATGCAATCTTGTACCACTCTTAGTTTCGGGAGCACCTCGACAAAGAAGCTTTCTCTCCCAGTGTCTTTCTCTGGAGGTTTTGTCCTGCCAGCATGGGGTCTGGGTGCCCCTTGGGCCAAGCTCTTTCACCCATCTGGATTCTGAGTCCTCAGGGTACCCTCCACCACCACCCCACCCCAAAAAATAACAAAACCCTTCTCCACATGAAGCTTGAAGCTGACGCCCGTCTCCTGTACCTTTGCTGTAATGTAACACATTCTCTGTCTGCTTTCTTCTCTCTCTAGACTCTCTCAGGGGAGGAAGAGGAGGCAGGTTCACCTTTTAATTGTCCACAGAGCTCATTAGATTGCTCACCTAAAAGAAAATAAGGTTCCCCTCCCTAAAAAGAACTCCACCGCCCTCAGAGAACAGCAAGTTCCAATGAAGTCAACCTTTAACATAATCGTTTCTCGTACCAGCTTAAACCTTGCTGTGATGAACATTCTTGAGCTGAGTGTTTGGGCATTATTTCCCTTCATTTTTAATTTGCCATGTTTTTTCCTTAATATTGGAGTCCCTGGGTGGTGCAAATGTTTAATTCACGCGGCTGCTAGCTGAAAGATTGGAGGTTCGAGTCCACACAGAATCACCTTGACTTCTGAGAAACCAGCCACTGGAAACCCAATGGGGAGCTGTTCTACTCTGACACGCATGGGGTTGCCATGAGTTGGAGCTGACAACCGGTTTTTCCCCTGGCATCCATTTCTCGATATGGAGTTGCTGGGCCAGAAACGTATGCCCAGTTTCAGTAGTCTTAAACATATGGCCAAATTACCCACCAGAGCTCCCCAGGCTCTAACACCAAGGCAGACGGGTGAGGTGGTCTCTCCCCATGGCCACTCTGGCATGGTTGTTCCCGTTGCTACAACTCTTTGGCCAACTTGATAGGGGGAAATAAATTATTGCTTGCATTTGTGTTTCTTTAATTACTAATTAAGAAGCCCTGGTTACACAACTATTAAGCGCTCTACTGCTAACTGAAAGGTCTGCGGTTCTACAGGAGAAAGACCTGGTGATCTCCCATAAAGATTATAGCCTAGGAAACCCTATGGGGCAGTTCCGCTCCATCACATGGGGTTGCTGTGATTCGGAATTGACTCCATGGCACCCAACATCAACAACAATTGCTAAAGACGGTGAACAGTTCAGCATGTATTTCCTTGCTGTTTGTAGGGTTTTTCTTCCCTCCCCCTTTTTTTCACATATTTTTGGAACTGCCTGTTGCAAACCCTTTGGCCGTTTTTCGATGGGCAGTTTTGCCCTCTTCTTAGTGATGTGTCAGTCATCCCAGTTTAGTGCCTACTTCTGTGTGGTTTGGGGCGTTGGTTTAGATAAGACACTAGCAGGGCAGATGGCTCATCCAGGGTGACCAGCCTGTTGGAAGAACAGACAGAGCAAAGAGCCCAGGTGCTTCTGCCTGATGAGGTGACCCTGAGTAGTCCCTCCCTTTTTTTCCTTTTTAAGTTTTTTCTTAAAATGTTAGTGTCATTTCTTAACAAAGGCCAGCAAATGGTTCCCAAGCCAAGCCCAGTTCTGTGAAGCAGCAGAGCCAGCCGACACTGGGTCACCATGTCTGATAACTCATCCTGCCTTATTCCCGCCTCCACCTGGACCTGGTTTTCCAAATCCCAGTTCAGAGCCTTTTCCCTGAGCGGCGATGCATGCTGTCCTATGTTTTAGAATAAAGTTGCTGGCTGCTGTCAAGTTGACCCCCAGTGCATGGTGACCCCATGCACAGCAGAACAAAACACTACCCAGTCCTGCACCATCCCCATGATCGGTTGCAGGTGGGACCATTGTGATCCATAGGGTTTTCATTGGCTGATTTTTGGAAGTAGTTCTCCAGGCCTTTCTTCCTAGTCCATCTTAGCTTGCAAGCTCCGCTAAATCCTCTTCAGAATCCTAGCAATACAGAAGCCTCCACCGATAGGCAGTGGCTGCTCATGAGGTACCTTAGCCAGGAATCGAACTGGGGTCTTCTGCATGGAAGGTGAGAATTCTACCACTGAACCACCACTGCCCTTAATTTTAGAATAATAAACCCGTTACAGCCGGCCCTCTGTAGCCTCTGGTTCCACATCCGAGGATTCAACCAACCCCAGATTGAAACTATTCAGGAGAAAAAAAATTCCCAAAAAGCAAAACTTAAATTTGTCGCACGCCAAGCACTACACTGAATCCATGCTAATGAGGAGATGTGCAGCATCCCCTGCTGTAGCCTCCCCCGTCTCACAGATCCTCAGTCTCTCTGCAACACTCATTGTTTGAGCATTGTTTGCCTCGTGTCTTGTCATTATTTCCTAAAGAATACAGTGTAACAACCATTTACATAGCATTTACATTGTATTATGTATTTTGAGTGATATAGAGATGACTTAAAATATACGGGAGGATCCTATGCCATTGTATATAAGGGACTTGAGCATCCGTGGATTTTGGTATCCGCCGGGGGTCCTAGAACCAATCCCCTACAGATACCAAGGGACGACTGCATATTATTAGATACCTAAATGCCTTAAGAAAAGTTTGTGATCACATATGAAGACAGAAAAGCAAATTTAAAAATGGGGCGAGCTATTACTTTCCTGCTACAGGTGATATTTGGGGTGCACAGAAGTACCCTCCCCCTGCCCAGTGTCGTGTTGCCCCCAGCTCTCCATGGACACTCTTGCCCACTTCCTGGGCATCCTGGGATGACTCATTTTTGCTCTGTCTTCAAAATCCAGCCCCAAACACCCATCTGGGAGATGTCAATCCCTGCCCCTTCCTTCTCTCATCTCTTCTCTCCCTCACACCCCTGGCCCACCAGACTGTTGTTTGGAAAACAGAGAGCTCCTGGCCTGTGTCCACCTTTTCCTGGACGCCTGTCACAGGGTCCCAGATGAGTGGGCTGTCAGTAAACTATGTGAGTGAGAGCTGACTCTCAGACACTGAGAAGAGGGGTCATCCAGGGTGGGGGCCACCCTTCCACTTGATTTTTGTAAATGCATCCCTTTAAAGATCACCCACCTGAGGCAGGGTGGCAGGGAACTCGTGCCAGGAGGTCTTGAACAAGGGATTCAACCTTCCAGGGCCTCAGTGCTCCTGCCTGAGAAATGGGTGTGCAGAGTGACCTTCTGTCAGCCCAGAGGTACTCTGACTTGGCCCACAAAAGGCCAAGAATAGGAGCCAGTGGAGCAGGGACTTACAGGCGCCTGAGGGAGAGTAAGAAGGAGAGGTCTTGAAAGCCGCGCACGAAAATGTGGATGGGATTTCTCCAGGCTGTTTGATGGCTGCTGCTGTTTTTTTTTTTTCTTGTTTGTATTTTCTAATTTTTCTACACAATACATTGGCCTTATACACACAAAATGTAGTATTATATATTACAAAATGAATCTAAGTGCCAAGGGTACGGGTCCTTTGCGCTCTTGTTGGTTTTATCCTATAGGTGAAGCCCAAAGAGTGGATGTGGGCTGTTAGGCATCTTCGTTGTTGGGTGCCGTCAAGTCGATTCTGACTCATAGCGACCCCATGTGAAAGAGTAGAACTGCCCCGGAGGGTTTCCTAGGCTGTCGTCTTTATAGCAAATGGCCACCCCACAGGTTCAAGCCTCCGACCTTTCAGTTAGCAGCCAAGTGCTTAACCATTGCGCCGCCAGGTCTTCTTTAAGCATCCTTCCAAAAAAAGAACCCAGCTCGCTGCTGTCAAGTTGAGTCCTACTCTTAGTGACCCTACAGGACAAAGTAGAACTGCTCCATAGGATTTCCAAGGCTCGGATCTTTACGGAAGCAGGCTGCCACATCTTTCTCCCATAGAGCGGCTGATGGGTTCAAACTGCCAACATTTTGGTTAGCAGCTGAGCATTAAGCATCTTTAAAAGGTAATAAAGCAGAGAGGGGAAAAAAAAACAAAACACTGAAGTCAAGTGTCTAGAGATCAAAGTTTATTAGTGGTTAACGGGTGGGCGGGGGGCAAGGAAGACACAAGTTTAGGGGACACTGATCTTCTGCAGGGCGATGGAAAAATTCGAGAACAGTTCATGGTGATAGTTGAACAACACGAAGAACATCATTCATTTCACTGAGCTGTACGTGTGCAGATTGTAGAAATGGCAAGTGTTTCATTAGCTGCATATATATATATCACAGTAAAAAATAAATAAAAGGTAATAATGAATTATATCTTCAAGGGGGAAAATGACTGGAGATGAAGTTCTTTTAGGGATAGACACTTTTGTGTCCCTGGTCTAGAGCCGTGTTTTCATTCTGGTTTCTAACCCTTTCTCCCCTTCCCTCCCTGGTGCCCCCCACCCATTTCCTCTCTTGCCTCTCTTCCCTCTCCACCTCCCCCTCCTTCCTCCCCTGCCCCTCTGCCCCATCCAGGTGTCCTCCTGCCCCTACTCCGTATATGGCTCTTGGGTTGGGGGCTCCATCCTCGGCTCGCTCTCTACGTTCAAGGACATGTGGATCACCAAGGACGAGTATAGAGACATTGGTTCCTCCATTGTCATTAGAAGAAGCTTCTGAGTTGTGGCCTTCTGCAACCCACCCATCACCTGTGCCATCAACGCCGACTCCAGGCTTGGCATCCGCTTGGCTGAATTGACCAGAACTCAGAGCCAACTGAGACACGAGGGCAACCTTCCACCACAGGCTTTAATAAAAAGGGCCATAAAGGACAGCTTCTGCCTCTGTGTCTCGGCCAGGCTTGCAGCAGCATGGGAGGGGCCCACAGGGCACTCTGTAGGTTAATGTGCAATAAGGGCTATGTCTCAGTCTCCTAAGGAGCCCTGGTGGCACAATGCTTAAGTACTCGGCCACTAACTGAAAGGTCGGCAGTTCAAACCCACCCAGCAGCTCCTTGGGAGAAAGGCCTGATGATCTGCTCCCATAAAGATAACAGCCTAGGAAACCCTGTGGGGCAGTTCTACTCTGTCACATGGGTCACTATGAGTCAGCATCTACTCAACAGCACCCAGCAACAACGACGACTTAGTCTCCTAGAGCCGCTAC